CGCTAAATCGCCAGAGACTAGTCTTAGCGCTCGATACAAGCTGCCTAAGCGAAACACCGGAAAACAAATAGGAAGTTTCAAGGAAGCTTACTAGACTTGAATGCACTTCTGATCATGCGAAATCATCTGATTTTGCTTGCTTCAATTAGCCTCAAAATAGCTGTGAAAATATCATATTTAATTTTCTTTTTGGAGGATAAGATTCAAATGGGAGGAGCACAAGATGTTCCAAAAAATTTGAGCTATGTTTAAAGCTAGAGGTTGTCCAAAAAAGAAAGAAAGAGAATTATAACATAGAAATTAAAACTTACCCCAGTCCTCATCGTTCGCCGCATCGCTCCCCTCACTAATGATATCATCCACGATACTGGCTGAGAATGGATGAGCAGAGCGTTCTAACACCGACTGGTACCCAGAGTCCTGTAGGAATTCAGCTCCTTTGAGAGCGGTCTAAAGAACTCTTTTTTACTTTGAACACAAAAACTCTAGGACTTGAGAACCTACATTTAAATCCTTGAGATCGTAGTCCATGTCATAGAAGAAGACGGGAGCTTCAATAAAATCGTCAGTTGCATGCGGTGGAGAACTGGAAGAGCATCAGCTAAGAAATCGGCCCTGCGGCGGGTAACGGCGGGTAACAGTGAACGAACTGGTTGGATTGCGTAGAGCGTCACGAGTAAACTATGGGTATGTACAATACAACATTAGAGTTAGACTAATTGCTGATTTTGGTAGATCCCAAAGATAAGAGAGAGGAATGCAGAAAGCTTATGTGGTGCAGAGATAAAATTGCAAAAATCCTTGTAAAGCAAATAACTTGAAGTTTCTAGAAGTTCCACAGGGTTTAACTGCGTGTTTGAGCGTATCTTTGACATGTGTTAATAGCGTAAGGCTTAGTTGCACACTGAATGAGAGCAAAGATTAACCAAATCTGGAGTTGTGTCGGTGTATTTACCCTGCAAACACTGACATCTTGACCATACTAGCCATGTGTGCGCAAGAGGTGTGAGGGACAAGTTCCGCTTTCCGCTCATCCCTGCGGCCATATTTGACTTTGCACCTAATTCATTCCCCCTATCGACGATTTTTGGTTATCATCTACGTAGAGTCGTAAGTCCTTGTAGCAGATACTCTATGAATGGGAAAAATGAGAATAATAACATCTAACGAGCATCGTTGAGCGCACCTGAGATGTAGAAATGCGAGAAATTATTATTTACATACACTGCTCCCATTTTGTGAGGGAAATTTAACAAGGGGGTGACCTTAGCGCACGCTTCAGGCGCATTTCAGATATGGAATAGCTAAAAATGCAATTGATGACGCAAACGTGCAGTGTCCAACACGCCAACCGTCATTAGCTGCTATTATCGCTGGAAGACGAATGTTTGCTCGGCGCTTCGTGTACTTGTATTGAATACACCGTGAAAACGGCAACGTATAGATTTCGTGGGACAAAAAAAGTGACCGCACATTGCCGAGATGCGGTTGTTTTCCGAAAGTATTCACCGTGCCAATGCAGCCGGTTTTATATGGTTTTACGGGTGGCATATAGGAAGCCATCTGATGATTTGCAAGGTCTCATAGACAACAGAAATGGAGTAGACTAAGTGTTGCGATGGGAGCCATTGACTTCTACTAAGAATCCCACTTGTACGTCGTAATCTGGGTCGCTGACATGAATTCATTACATCTGGATAACGATAATGGCGTAAAAACAAGTCAAAAGTGGGAGAAAAGGACTAAAAGAAAAGGAGGGGTAACAAAGAATGAGTTATCAGTTTTGCTATGTTTAATTGTGAAAAAAGTATGGCACAAATAATGACCAATAGACACAACAGATGACGCTTTGTAAGGCCAGACACGAGGAATGAATTTAGACCAAGCCTCACTCCTAAGACAATCCCCAATCACTCCTAATTTCCCATTCTTTTTTTTTATCCTCGCCGCGCAAAAGTATAAAAATGTTATCCCACTTGTTTTTCATGCTTTTAGGTTTCTTGCTCAGAGTGTTGAACGGCTTCGACGATGGGAAAAGGATGTTTGCAAAGAAGGAGGCCTAAGGTTTGCGTATGTGTGTCAAAGTGCCAATTTCCTCAAGAATGAATGCATGGAAGAGAGCAGCTAAGCGTCTCTCCAAATATAACGAGATTCATTAATGAGCTGGAGGGTTAATTAGTGCGCACAGTGGATCGCAAGGCATGCATATCACAGCAGCACAAAACAAAACAAGGCTAAACTCACACAGCACTCGATGTGTTCGGTTTTGGATACGGTGTAGTGACGTCGCTCGAACTACTTGCCACCATGCTACAGTAGCATGACGACGGAGCGCCGTCCATTTCAAAAAACGGATTCGAAAAGCTGCTTGCACCCGCCAATTCGGATATTTTTTCGCCTGAAACCGCCGTAATGAATGTATGAAAACAAAGTAATTAAACGAATAGGAACGGGTAAGCGAGTGTGGATAACAAGCTGAGCCTGAAGCGCCTCCAATACGACTATACAATTTCTAGCTGACTATGCCATGTAGAAGGAAGGTGGTGTCGGGGTAGAACGCTTTGAAGCAGGTGAGTCAATAAACACGCTTCACCGAATAGTACAACGCTGATGAAGTAATTTACTCGGATAGCACTCCAAGGTGAACTCGTAATGGTTCACGTGAAGGGTTACTGGGAATATTGGGAGTAATCAGCTGTTTTTAAGAAGTCCGACAGACACGCCCGTTTGAGGTCTCGGTCTCTTCGTCGGATAACGGGTGGTTTTATGGGCGAAATGATGGCGAACACTTGACCTTCCGAGGTAAAGCTTAGTTTTCATTTTCCATTACGGCGGTTTCATCTACTGTCTGTGCACTTGTAGAAATGGAATATTTCGCAACAACGGCGAAGAAAATAAATCTCTTTATGTTCCAATATGTCTACTAAACGCGCACTTTACAATATTCCTTACAGTCATTCAAAAAATATCACATGGAGACATTTGAGAGATCTATGAGCATTCATCATAACATTGTTATAAATGTTTCAAATTTTGCTACATGTACTGCAAATTTGATAAATTGTAGGATAAAAGTTTGTAAATTTCTCTCCATATCGTCAAGAAGAATTGAACACCAAATCACTTTTTTAAGTTAAATAATGTTGTAATGATAGATAATTATGAGTGGCATTTTTAATAGAAGTTGTTCACGAAGATTAAGATGAATTTATCTGTAAAATCATAAATTACTATCATCAGAATACTTTTGTGATGGTGTTTCGACCTGTCACTTTTTCTAAGAAAAATTACTTGTTGAACTCGCACGAAAAAGATGCACTTTTATGAGTGGAAGAGTTCTCAGACGCGAAAACCACATCGTATGCTAATGTCAGACTAAGCTTAGAAAAGCACTTACTTCGGAGTTCTTTGCTTATATGTCTATTCATGTCATCAATGACTTCTCCTATCTACATTTGCATAGAATAAATGTACTGGATCGTGCATTCGTAGAGAGTTTTCAACAACTGAAAGTAACAATCGACTCTCGGAATATTTGAGCCATTGAAAAAGACACGAAAGCGGTTGAGAGGGTTGAACTGGCAAGCAATGTACAGTGGAAGGAAAGCGTAAGCAAACGAAGGCATAGAATTTTCAATAAAGTATTTTCGTGGTCAGCAAAAAATCTCATGCATATTCTTAGATGATCGTATTGCATACGCTAACGATGTCACGGACATTCTCCATGTATAAGTGCAAAGCGAAGCGTGTACGGGACAGCTGCAGATGAAGCGGGATGCAAGGGTGGTCAGAATGTTTCCGTAAGTTTCGGCCTAGTATTGTTGTTGACTCGGCGACCAATAGCCGAGGGCAATGTGAAGCGAGCGTGAAGGAAGGAATGCGTATCGATCCCAGTCCTCATTTGCCTTTTCGATTCGCCCTGCCTCCCGCTATTTAGAGGCTCTCTCGGCCCCGGTTATCGTGTGCCATTCGCCCCCCTCCCCTGCTCTTCCATGCGATTCCGGCGGGTCATTCGAACAATCGCTGCTAATGCTCGGTCGCTCCCTCTCAACCATAACCTTCTCCGACATACCCACTCACTCTCAAACAGAGCACTTGCGGTGGCCACGGGAAACCTTGACATTGAAACTGCGAAACCACAATGTGCCCTTTTTTCGTCAGCGAACTGGCACTCGTAGACTGGCGTTAACGATTCGTGTTCACCTCTGACTCCGAGGAGTACATCGTTGTCGAGTTAGTGGCAATGACACTAGCAAAAAGTGTGGATCTTGAACCTTTAAGTAAAACAGTCACACCATAGTTTAGACCGTGG